TAGCCCAAATCTCTGCAATAGAGGGTGGCAAATGTAAGGTGATGGCATAAATCTGGTCCCCTACCTCTACTGCTTCATCTGAGAACTCCAGGCCAAGTATGCCTCTGAACTCCTCTCCATGTTTATCTTTTGGGGCTCCATTGCTACTCTGGTCATCCTTGTAGAGGGCCTTTCTATGAGGTAACACAAAGGGTGGGGGATTCAAGAGGTCTAGGTTGGCAAAGGGGAAAGGGCCAGCATGGCATGTGCAGTCATCTGTGCACTCTCAGACTTGAGCCCAGTGTTCTTTTTTGGCCTTGGTGGCACAGGCAGAGCATCTGCAAGAGCACTGGCTCATCATTACCTCACCCTTGGCCCAGTCTACTTTGGAGTTGTGCTCCCAGAGCCATGTGAAACCAAGGATCATGCCCTGCTTGCCCAAACTGGTGATGGCAAAGACTGCATGCTCTGCATGATTTTGATAATGGAGAACAAGGCTGACCATGGAGCTGATAGTGCCTGCTTTGTTGGGCATTCTGTCAATGTTGAAGACCAGAATGGGCTTGGGGAGTGGCTGCATGGTCAGGCTGTGGTACTTGACAAACTCTGAGTCCAAAAACAGTCCCATTGTTCTGCTATCTAGGAGCGCAGTGACTCTGCAAGCTTGCTGGGTGTCTGTGGTCTTGATTTCCATGTCAAAGTGCAGTGAGTTAGTAGATGGGCTTGAAGCCACCATGTACTGTTGGAGCATTTGGCATGCCCAGGCAGAGTGGCACCAGCAAATCCTAGCTAGCATTGTGGGACTTGGCTAAGGCTCCAGAGTTGGTATTTGTATGTCTGGAGGGGGACACTGAGGTTCTTCTGTTTTAGAATGAAGGGCATTGGAAAAGACAATTTCATTTTCTAGCAACAGACATGAGAACCTGTTAGTACCTGGTGATGGAGGCATACACCTCATCTGTCATTTGACTAAAAATCCTCCTCCAGTTCTAGGGGTGATGCACAAGTGCTAATCTCCTCCAGAGTTAACTCCAGCATCAACTTGTTTGGTGAGGGAGATCCAGCAGCATCCTTTGCAGCCAACAGTTGCAGAAGGAGTTCCTCCTGCTCCACCATAGAGGTAGTGTACCTCCTGACCCAAAGGGCAGTGTCATGCAAAATGCCCAGGCTTCTTATATCTCTGACACAGTAATGGCATGGTACAGAGCTGTTGGGCTGCATTTACATCCATGGAGATGCCTGGCAGCAAGGGGCATAGCACAGAGATGGCTGGAGTAGGGGCAGGTGTTGGGCAAGCAGGCACAGGGTACTAGAGGCTGATGACTGGTGCAGAGTGCTGCATGGGGTGCATGTGGCAGAGCTCTCATCAAATCTCCATGAGTTGCCACTAATCCCAGGCCACCTCATACCATGAGGCAATCCTCTCATTATCCAGGCAGCCCTCTGCAAGGTTGTTAATGTGTTCTACCAATGTGGGGTGCAGGCCATCCTGGAAGGTGAGGCATAGTTGAAGACTGTCAGGGTAGGCAGCTTGCTTGACCAGTGCCCAGAAGGAGTTGATGTACTTGTCCAGTGTTTGCTTTCCTTGCCCATATTGCTCCCTATCCTGTAGCATCAAGGTGGCAGTTTTGGTGGGGTCAAGCAGGAAGAACTCCACCTGGAAGCCCTTCTCAAAGGCAGCCCAGTCCAGGAAACTTCCAACACCTCTGAAGCAACAGAAGACTCACAACATGTAGGTGGAAGCATGTCCAGTCTTCATATATGACAGTACCCAGGCTATCTTCAGCATGTTGGAGTCAAGGGTATCCCTGCTGAGGTGGATGTAGGTGAGGCAGGACTGGAGGAAATGTTCCTCACTAGAACAAGCACCATCATATATGTCTGGAAGTGTGAGGCACAGGATCCATGGTTGTAGGGGTCACCAGAGCTGCAAAAGCAAGTACCAAAGCAGTTGGAGTTGGTTCTGCAACTGGGGAAGGTGTGGAGGTAGGGGGTAGGCACTCAAGCAGCTCCTGGAGTGATTGGGAGATAAGATCTGTGGTTTGACAGAGGGTGGAGAGTTTGGTTGTATAGTGGGTAAGAGATGATTGTGTGAGTTGCACCTGGTTTTCTAGGTGTAAGCAGGCAGGTCCAGGCTTTGTCCTGTGGGGCTGGGGCCTCCACAGGAGTGTCTGGGTTGGCAAGCTGATACATAGAACTCTGCAGTGCTTAATCTTGGTGGGGAAGCAACAGATAGAGGCTTGGAGGTTCCTTGCAGCTAAGGGCTTCCAGACCAGTTTAAGGAGACTTGTTCTGCTGTAAGAGCAACCTCTGGGAGTGGCAGCTCAGAGTCATGCAGCTAGCTAGCAGAGGTAAATCCAAAGTATATTAGCAAGTAGATGACAATACAACAGTAACTAATCACCTAGCAGAGGGAAATCCAAAGTATATTAGCAAGTAGATGACAATACAACAGTAACTAATCACCTAGCAGAGGGAAATCCAAAGAGAACAGGCTATATTGTTGGTTTCACATCACATGCACAGCAAAAAGGTAACTGGAAAGGAGCAAAAGTTAAAGACAAGCTCCAGCTATATTGTTGGTTTCACATTATGTGCACAACAAAAAGGTAGCTGTAAGGGAGCAAAAATTGAAGACAAGCTCCAGCTATATCATGTTTTCACATCACATGCACAGCAAAAAGGTAGCTGTAAGGGAGCAAAAATTGAAGACAAGCTCCAGCTATATCATGTAATCACATCACATGCACAACAAAAAGGTAAATGGAAAGGAGCAAAAATTAAAGACAAGCTCCAGCTATATCATGTAATCACATCACATGCACAACAAAAAGGTAAATGGAAAGGAGCAAAAATTAAAGACAAGCTCCAGCTATATCATTGGTCTCACATCACGTGCACAGCAAAAAGGTAGCTGGAAAGGAGCAAAAATTAAAGACAAGCTCTGGTTATATTGTTGGTTTCACATCACGTGCACAGCAAAAAGGTAGCTGGAAGGGAGCGAAGATTAAAGACAGCCTCCGGCTATATCGTCGGCTATAAGGTCACATGGGAACAAAATTTCAAGACAAAATTTGGTGTGGGATCAAGGAGTAAAGCCTCGGCTACTTCGTAGACCTCGGAACTCATTCAAGTTCCCCTTCTCACTTACTGCTCCTATCACGCAACCATAATGTCTGTTGCAGCTAGCTATGAAAGGCCTGCTTCTTTGGTTTGTATGCCTTCTCTCTGAGCATGGGTCGTTCTCCTTGCACATTTTTCTGCACACTCCTCTATTCCAATAAGGATACCAACTATGCCAACCATGTTGCTGTCTTTGAAACCTCTTCTGCCTATGTAAATTCCATGTGATATGTCAAGTTAAAGTGGGTTTTCATGGCTCCACATGAAAACCGCGACGATCGCGTGGTAGATAGACCGACAAGGAACGAATTCCCTTTAGGAAAACCCTTCCACGGCCCACGACAAACTCTCTCGTAAGCGTCAACCGAGTGCTGCCAGAGTGAGTTTTCTCTGGACCCGATGTGAGTCTCACCCAGAGCGTGTTGGGATCGAATGGGGTAGCCACCGTAAGCGTACTTGGCCAACCCATCACAGATATCACATCTATTGCCACCATTGTGTCGCAGCGCAGATAAAGCAAACACAGGATATATATTCAGCCTATAAACCAACGAAATGCCCTCAGTCACTTATATAACAGACTGAGGGCGAGCCGAAATCTTTACATTGACTTATGGACATATTACTTACTGTGCGGTAGATCAGACTGATTGTGTCTGTATAATATTAGGTACAGAAATATAGTCATTTATATAACAGACTCAAGATCAGACTAATTGTGTCTTATAATACTAGGTTCAGATTCTAGTAAGTCAGCAGAAAGGAGGGACGGGATGAATACGGAACACCTCTTTCTAGCCGATAGTCTCGGTCACATGTTCTTCACTTTCTTGTACTCCTACATCCACGTACTTTGCGATACAACATTTCTCTCGAATTTTACTCTGCGTACCTTGTGTCTAGCTATGGTTGGTGCTTCTTCGGCCTCCTCCTCCTCAGCTACATTGTCTGTTCCTACTGCCAAATCGGTCCCAGCACACGCGGATCTCCTGCTGATTCTTCTGAGGCCGGCCCTACTTCGCTGGATGCTTGTAAGACTCGTGCGGTTGTCTCTCGCCCTCCTTGTGGTAGAGGATGTTCCCGGGGTTTGCCAACGTTCTTGCCTATTCCGTCTTTCTTGCCAACCTCGAAGGTCGATATTGAAACATCGACCTTCCAGTGGTCCATCTCATCACTTTCCGTGTATACTCCCGTGCCCTCTACCACACAGTCTTCCTTTTACTTCTTTGATCTCATTGTCTCTCACGCTCGTTCTGCTGTCTGGTCTCTCTTGCGTTCACGCGTGCCCTTTCGCCAAGGGTTCCGGTCCCATTGCCGGATTCTATGCATTTTCTGGAAAACCTCCATACTTCCCTAAAGGCTGCGTTGAGCATCCTCAACTACGCTATGTCGAGTCCCCGCACTTTTCTACATCGATATCATGTGTCCTCTCCGTACGCGGAATGTGATATTGGTACTGAGTGCTACTTGCTATAGAGGGTGAAACCAGAATCGATGTGAATTAGAGGTGATCATTGACAATGAAGTTGAAGTTTGAGATTTTTTGACCGTACATTTGTTATTTGCGACTCCTTATCCTTTCTTGGGTTTTCCGATTGACTGAATTGCTTATCACACGTCAGCGTGTTAACGGAATACGTCAAATTCAAACTATAGTCAGGTCAAATTGTCAGGTCACGATGCTGAAATGGAAACAACACTTTTGAGGAATTGGCCAATGACAGTTACAAGGCTTGTAAAAGTTACCTTCGAACACATATAATACTGGTGATAATATGATCTTCTACTTACTTAAATGCCCTACAATGCTTGTCCTTCAGTCCTTTCATCGTGTTTCTATCCATAGTCCGCCCTCTAACGATTTTGCATGAAAAAATGTCAACGTTCTTCAATCATACCGACGCCAGCAGAATTTGAATCTGCGCCTTCAAAGAGGAACAAATTATCGCATTCGAATCTGTCGTCGTAACTACTTAGCTATAACGCCCATAATGACTAATTAACGTAACTACTCGCTGTATTTTTCCTGCCTCCAACACGGCAATCTAATATACTGGGAATGGTGTGGTGAGTAGCTTTCATGATTACTTCAATGCGCCGGTCTACGCTTGAGGTCGTCTTCGGAGAGAATCCCCGTCTTGAGTTCTGGTGCGGCTTACCTAAAGTGAGGTCGAGTCAATGTGGAATTTTCTTTGTGGAAACTTTGTTCCACTCGTGCCTCTTCCAGGCTCAGCACGTTTCATGATTACTTCAATGCGCCGGTCTACGCTTGAGGTCGTCTTCGGAGAGAATCCCCCTCTTGAGTTCTGGTGCGGCTTACCTAAAGTGAGGTCGAGTCAATGTGGAATTTTCTTTGTGGAAACTTTGTTCCACTCGTGCCTCTTCCAGGCTCAGCACGTAATCGCCGCTTTCAAATCTCCTTCATTGATTTTGTAAAAGCTTTTTTCTAACTAACTTGACTGATTCCACGTCTCCTATCAGAAGCCCGGCACCACACCCTTCTGATGAAATAAAAGTATCCAATGATTAACCATCGATCATATTCACCAACAAACCGTCAACACACGTGTAAGTATATACACTTGCAATTTTTCGTGAGTCTTCAACGCCTGAAGGAGGGTGAAGGACTACTTACGTTGATACAGCTTCGAAAGCTTGTTTACAGTCATCTTCCAATCAACTATTCCTACTGCAAGTTATGTTCATTGACGATGCTCTTCATTACTCGCAATCCTAGTGTGAGATTAGTATACTTAACATTCGTCTACCTCTCGGGTGGAAACCAGTATTCATTTTAGAACTCTTTCACGTATATTGTCCGGGACGAGTCGAGATCAACAGGCTATGTAGGGGATGACCAAATTTAAAGTGTTCAGAAAATCGTGTCTACTACATGATTTCCGTCAGGGAATAAGGTCTTCGAGGCACTCCTCACATGCCACAGGCTATCCAAACGCAGAAATTACATGAAAGAACCATTTCAACAAATACTCAATACTTACAAAATCGGCTCCAGCATTGAAGGCGTCAACGACGCATTGAGCATCGGCACTGAGATCTAGCACGAAATGTCAATTGTGTGGAACATACAGAGAAGAACTGAATCCAACTTACCATCTCCGGAGGCAGCTTCAGCACATGATTCCACTAGAGACAAACGGACTCAGATTCATGTTTTCATTGATAACTTATATTGTAGGACGGACCCGTAGAAGCGAGGGAAGTAACACAAGCTACGATTTGGCAGAATTAGGTTGGTATCATAATCAAGCACTGGAAGTGCTTAACGTACTATCGATGTCGCACCACGAACGCATGGAAACATGGCCCGAAGGAATAGCGAAGACAGTGTTGATTATCGCGAAAATACTGATCACAAAGACAGATTGCATCTTGAGTAATCACAAGTGGGATGGAAGGATTATAAGGTCTAGCCAAAGGCCAGGTTCAAAAGGACGAAGGGGTGAAGATAGCTTTCCAAAACTCGAAGCTATTTAACATTTTCTAGATGACAGCCATCATGACGGAGTGGAGACATCAGTCATTTGCTCGAGGCAAAATGACAGATGCAATCACACTCTCATGTCCTGGGTATATCAGACAGAACTTAGAAGGTGGAAGTATCTTATGCACACAATAACTTTTGTAAAGAGGGAAGGAAAATCACCTGCAGTATATATTTTCAATGTGATGCTGATTTTGGTATTCCATGGCTCTTGTTTTCTTGCCATTATTATAGCTTCTTCCGCACAGAAAGTGGTTACTGCCAGTCGCTATCTTCGGAAACGCTAGAAGATTGTCAACCTCCTGTCACACTTGTATATTTGTATCTGACAGAAGGTATGTATGGCATAGATTTGTGGGCCACGGTCACAGGTGATGGATCGAGAGCATATATAGATCAGCCGAATCCTTCTTTCTGATAGATAGTGTCACGAAGCAAAAAGGAATGGGTGGCTAGTCAATAAATTTTTGACTCTTCGTGATGTAGATGGAATCGAAACTCCATCTACGCATCAATATTGATGCGAAATGTAAGTTTTGATGCCGTCAATTGATCAGATCAACAGATCAAACTTTGTTTTCACAGTTGCTCGGAGGCTCAGTTACACGCAGGCTCAGTTACACGCAACTTCACGTAGAACAGAAGTAATTTATTATATATTTCAATATGATTTATTTGCAAGGTTGAGACGGTTCTTGCACTATTGAAAGTGTTCAAAAAGTAATATTGAACTCAAAACCCGAAACAACATATTACTCGTAGGCCTAAGAGAACCGTTCCCTGGGGTTTCTCCGAGCCGTGGTACGTAGTTGCCTGTCCTTTCCTTTCGAAATCCCTCCCCTTTTATACCTGTCAGCTGTGCACAGAGCAGCATGCTATCCTCATGTTTTCGTGGTCGGTCGGATAGGCTATAGGCTGGTTTACCATTGGCTGGTTTTTGGCACTATTACTGCCTGTTTTTAGCCTTTTCTCCCCTGCTCTCTCTTCTTATGGTTTCTCCTTTTTTTGTTACTTTGCCTGACGTAGGTTCCAAACTTCTCCCAGTTGGTTTGTCATAGGGATGTTGTTTTTCAGAGGGTTTCAAGGAATTTTACAAGAATAGATGCTCAGGTAGCCGGGTAGCGGACCTGCCGAGCACAGCCACTCATCAGCCATCAGTGCGTGATCTTTTTTCTATGCTTCCCTCATCATCGGCAGCTTGTTTCTGGTTGCTTTGAGCTAGTCTTTTGGGTCCCTTGGTGCTTACATTTGGTATGTGCTCAATGCCTACAGTTTTTTGGCATTCCTGGGTTACAATTTTCAGCCAGTTTTTCAGGGTATATTTGAGCATGTCTAACTATGTAATATTTTTGCCTGTCTCATGGTAAGCGACAGGCATATCACCTCCCCCATGCTATTTTACTGACTGCCCCCAGTCAGCTTGCCTACTCCTGAGGTCTGCCAATCATTTGATCATGTCCTGACCATAATATTTTCTTTCTTTATTGAAAAATTTTTTTGTCTATTTCATTTGCTCCTCATAGGTTTTCCCACCCAATCACATTTGTTCCCCTATAAACAGTCCCCTAGGACTCAACTCAACTGATTCCTCATAATCATGGTCTAGAGGCTCATGAAGCCTTATAGAACCCAATGAAAGGTCTGGTATAGCATTTCCCACAGGTTTTTGTAGTTCCTTCCTCAGCTCTTTTAACTTCTCTGGAGTGAAATCTACTCAATGCTCAAACTGATCCATCCAGTTCTGCCACAATGTAATTACCACCTCTGGTTTTAGTAATTACTACCATTGGACCATGAAAACAGGGAAGCATCTTAGCACTGTGTGAACTTTCTGTAATTATATTCCTGACCAAGTCCAAGTCCAAGAGCTTGAAATTGAAGTCTTTGATAGAAATTTTATGCTCTTCTGCAAACTTCAAGGCCCATTGGAGTTTGTCCTTCCCAACTCTCTCTCTCATCTCCTCCACATGTTGGTGGTGCTTGGCTCAAGCCCTAGCATGACAACCAATCAACTCTTCTGTAGATAATGGCCCTTCTGGCAATCTTGTTAACCAGGTATACTCTACCAAGTCCAAGGGTAGAGTCGCATGAGCCCCAGTGACCATGAAGTATGGTGAACATCCAAATATCTGCCAGATAGTAATGCAATCACTCCACATTACATGGAAGAAGAACCAAAACCATTTAGTGTGATCCTCACAAGCTTTGAATAAAGCTTGCCTGACATCCCAATGTGGTCTTTCAATCTTGCCATTAGCTTGAGAGTTGTGTAGAGAGCTTGCTATGCCTCTGATTCCATATTTACTCTCTATCCAAGCTGTGACATCTTTGAATTGTCCAGCATTGTCAGTGACAATCTCTGCAATGCAGCCCCAGCAACAAATCACATCCTCAAACAACCATTGACCAATTGTTTTATGGTTTTCCTTGTGCAGAGGCCTCCCTTCCATCCATGAAGACAATGCACACCTACCATGGACAATATACTTGCAGCCATTTGAAGCTGGAGTCATGTGCATGGTATCAATGTGGATTGTTTGGAAGATAGAGGGTGTATAGGTCACTGTGGGAGCTCTGTTTACAACTGTCTTCTGATGTATCTGACAGTTGTGACAAGTCCCAACATACCACTGCACATCTCTATCAATTCCTGGCCACCAAAATCATTCTTGTATTGACATTTTGGTTGCATAAGTCCCCCTATGCCCCAAGGCATCATGGGCTGATTTAAGCATGAACATTTGTCTATTGACATTGACTGCTAGCTTATGTCTGGCCTCATGATTACATTTGTGCAGTCCCCCTTTGGATCAAGAAAGAACTGTCTTGAAAACCTTTTGAACTTGTCTGGGTCCCAACCCTATAAACCCTCAGGTTCTTTGCTTGGGTCTTGTAGCCAGCTTTGTACAATCAATAACAAATTATCCCACTACTCACTCTCACCACCTTTCCTATGTTCTAAGTAGGCTTGTAAGTTGGCTTCCTTGTCCTCCTCAGTACCTTCTGTAGGTAACAGAAGCTGAGAGAGAGATAGTACTGCAACAGGATCCATTCTGGATGTCTGCTGCTGACTTAGAACTGCCTTCTCAAATTCCACCTCTTGGGACCTTGCTCTATCAAGTTCTTGTTCAAAGTCTGATACTTCAGTGGCTACTGCATGTAGATAGCCACCTCTAGTGTCAATTTGATCTGAAAACTCCTCAAGTGTTAAGGGTTCCCAATCTTCCCATCCTGGTTCATTGTTGGTTTTAGCTGGATATTCAAAGTGCATGGTCTTTGGGTTGTCCACCAACTCTGGATTAACAGGTGGGTACTCCTCATCTCCTGGCTGCTTGAGCCTCCTAGACAGGCCATCAACACTAAAAGTGTTTCCTGGCACATGCCTCAAAGTAGAATGATAGAGTAGTACATCCTCAATCCATCTCATGATGGTGGTGGCATTAGGTCCTACTCCAGGATTGCTTAGCATTCCCTTCAAATAC